TTTTATAAGCTTTAAAGATGAGCAAGAAAGGTCCCCAGTTTCATTTTAATCCGATTTCATTATGATCTGCCACATTATATAGTAAAATTGCATGAGAAAAATTTTTTGTTAGGATCAAAAAGGCGATTTACTAATCTATATTTTGTGATAAACATAAATTTTGCAAAGCGATACGTTATACCTGATCTTGGTTTTTAATTAGCTAACTGTCTTCGGAAAATCACGTGAACGGAAAATCGATCCTATGCCCTGGCGTTCAGATATGAGATCTGGAAGAGAAAACAAAACGCCTTCAGCAAAAGTAATATTAATGATAGTGATTTGAAGCTATAAAAGGTTGCTATTCCTCTAAGCAAAGAAAACCAGGAAAAGAAAATAAATGTCGAAATTAACATTAAAGAAGAACTTGGAGGTGAAAAGTTGGGTTATTTTGAAATTATAAAAAATCATTTTGACAAATCCAGTACTTATATCCAGATAATTGTACAACCACCTGCCACCACTGGTAAGTGTCTTCCAATGTTTTACCTTTTAGACAAGGGAATTTCTAGTGTTCCACCCCAGGTCGGGTGACCCATACAAGTTATCTGATCTAACAGGTCACAGGTCAGAAATTGCTCTAACCCAGGTCAAACGGATCAAGATTTAGGATAGTAAAAAAAAATTTTTTTAAATGTTTGTTAAAAAAAGACGATACTATATAAATTCAAACTTATTAGATATTACAATATTATATAAAAAAAAATTTTATTTGATTGCTTTAATTTTTATTACATTTTGATAGGGAATGACACCCTTTGATCATGTGTATACGTATTAAAAAAGTGTAAATATTTTATTAATATTAACGAAGCTGTATTATAGCTACTCAGTTTTTGGCCCAGTAAATTGCATATTGTGATATTGTATAATTTTGTAGTAATAATTTATAAGGGTGTAGAAATACCTGTTTCCTTTTGATATTAAAAGTTCAAGATTTACAATATCACCACTATGTAAAATCTTATTGAGTAAGTTTTTTTGTGAATAAATTATTTGAAGAACCAGAAACCTGGTTTTGAGCTTTTAATAAATCTTCAAAGTTTTTCACATTTTAATAACTAACCTTTTATTATCCAACTAAATCAACAGTCTTCATTATATATAATAATTACATTTTTGGCAAGTTCTGTTCGATCATATTTATCAGGTTTAGCAACTTTTGTAAAGATTAAATGGATTTCTTTTAACAGGGCCTTCCACGCAGAATTTTATTTTTATTTGTTAGTAACCATAATATTACACATAATTACATTATAATTAGGGTTCGAGGCACAGAGGCATGGGCATGCCTTTTGAGCATGCCTTGGGGGCATACCTATAGGCATGCCATAGTTATGTAATATGTATGTCATATCTGATTGGCCAGCATATCATAATTAAGATCATCAGAGTTGTATATTTTAATTAGTATAATGACAACAAAATTTCAATTTAAGTTCTGTAAAAATCTTTTATAGTAAT